CGGGGTCCACGCTGGGGCAGCCACTGGTGATGCTGCCAAGGGTGGAGCAGCCCAGAGCCAGCCTAACGTGGGCCAGCTGGCATTAAGCCACACACATGCACAAAAAAGGGATCGGTATTGTTTTCTCCCGTAAGGCCAGTATTCCAAAAGGAAAAGGGGGGTGGTGGTGGTCTGGAAATCGCATTGTCACGTACTTTTTTTTTTTTCCCCCTACCCCCTTCAAGGACCGAAATTGTCCTCCTAACTTTGGAGGAAGAGGCAGGGGAGGAAGTTTTGATGAAAGGCACTTAAACATGATGGCCTGACTTGGCCACGGTGCCTCCTGGGAGTTGTAGTCACATCTTCTCCACCCAAATTGCTTTTTTTGGCACAGCTCCGCAGCACAGTAACGCTCCCCATGACACAGCACCAGCTGCAGCCCCGTCCCAGACCTCCCCGCCTGCATGGCCAGGGGACAGCGGGACCCCCTGGACTTCAGTTGCTACAAGACAGCCCGGGGGCTGCTCGGGATCCAAACCTTATCAGGGTTTGGCCAGAATATTTCAGTTTTCTTTCACAGTCTCCCCCTCTCACAGAATTCCCATGGAAACAAAAACAAAGCTCGCGCTGTTTGGGTTTGGTTTTTTTCCTCCTCTTGAGGGGAGGGTGTGAATGAAATTGGTAAAAGAAGAGCTAAAAAAATAAAAAAATATATATGTATGGAATAAAACATGAAATACCACTTCTTAGCTTGATCTTCCCTGTGGCAGTGCATCTCTGATCCGTGTCACCCCTTAAGACCCTCAGGGGACAGAAATGGGCCTCAGAGCTAAAATAAGCTGTTATTTCCTGTATCGCAAACTTGCTTTCGGGCAGGAAAAAACCCAAACCCGAACCCTCCCGTGCCTCTCCTCCCTGGCACATCACGCCACAGGTACCATCGTCCCACAGATGCCGTCGCATGGGAGCTGCCCCGTGCGGCCCATGGCTGCCGAGGCCCCAGCGGGCAGCGCAGAGGCACAGGGCTGCAGGGCAATGCACAGCTTCAAGGGAAAAAAAGGGGAGGGAAAAAAATAAAAAGGAGTTTTTTTTGCAGCAATTCACAAAGCTTAAAGGAATGCCAAGCACGTCAGTATATGAAGCACAGTATCTGGAGGAAGGAGAGAGTGGAAACCGTCTCCTTATGGTGTTAAGCTAAGGCACACGCTGTCTTTCTATTTAAAACCCTGCGGTAACATGAATGCCAGGTTTGTGCGAGCTCAACAAGTCCATCTGAAAACAATTTACATGGTCCTCTCTACTGCAGGATCTGGGCACCTGACAGCTTTTAATGCCTTACCATTCCCACACAGCATGATATGACCCACCTTTACCTGCTGGAGAACCAAAGACCAGATCTGGAAAGGCATTTAATTCACCACAGAGACCAGTGTGACCTCCCTGGGGTCCAAGGCAGCTCTGGGATGGGGACATGAGCCCGCAGGGTGCTCAGTGCTGCTGCCCCCTCCCCTTTCCCTCCGCTTGGGATACATGGGCGATGCTGGGTACAACCCTGGCTGTGCTGAAAATGAGGGGTTTGCTACCAACACTGGATACCCAGGCAAGTCCTGCAGGCCAAACCATCCCGGCAATGCCAAACCATCTTTCATCCCCTACCAGCACCCCGAAATTGTGTCCGGCCAGGAGGGAGCAAGAAGAAAGCAAGATGCAATCCAGGGCTAGAGTTTGGGGTCTGCCTCGTTTCTCCCTTATCTTCCTCAACAGCAGTTCATTAAATGGTGAATTAAACGTTTTATCATTTGTCCATAACAAGTTGTCAAGTCCGTACGTTATTGTTAGCAACGGGAAAGGAACTAACTAAAATATTCTTAAAGTATGTAAGGAGCACTTGAGTAAGAGTTAAGTAACGAGCACTTCTTTAGCGAGGAATCTAAGCAAGACACGCTCCACCCGTTTTGTTAACAGACAAAGGCTTACATAAGCTGGGTGTTACATAAAATCCTAAAATAGGGAGCCAAAGAACTCCCCCACCTTTGGCTGATAGCGTGACTGCAGCCCCCGTATACCTGAGGTGACACCGAACTCGCTCTGAGCTAACATGCAGCTGATGGCCAGGACTGGAGATGGCAGAAACAAGGAGCGTGGACAGACATGTCCTGCGTGTCCTTACGTTAGCCCCGAGCATCGTTTGGGCTACGAGTCCAGATTTACTCTCACGCTTCTCCGGAAACAGCCTGTACAGTAACACGCTCCAAGCAGCTTTATCATCGCTGTGATAATCAATATATATATCTCTCTCTCTCTCTCCGTTCTTGTGTTCTCATGTGTGTCAGGTCAGGCTAAACACCATCGGATCCCAGGGTGCCATCCCAAGGGAATTTTAACTAATGCTTAGGAAGGAGTATGCGAATGGGGCACGGTAATGGAGAAGCTTCTCCTGGACTCTCCCCGTCTCCAGCGATTTGCAAGGGACTTTCCTAGCCAGAAAATCTTTGCAATTTTACAGTGCCTCATAGCTATTTCTTTAAATAAATTGTCCAGTCAGGTTTTGAGTTCATGTGAACTTTCAACTTCCACAATATCATGCAACAAAAACCACCACAATTTACCCTAATTTATCTGTGGAAATAAAGGGAATCCAAGTCTTGCAAGATCAACTACTATAGCTAAAAAAACCCAGGCTGGCAGAGGGTGCAACCTCCTCATCAGGTCTTGCATGCCTGAAAGCCTGTCTGTCTCGAGATGAGCCCTCTACCTCAGTAAAGAAATATTTTTCCTCCCTAAACACCTTGTGTCCCACCTTAAAATGCGCTATTCCAGCACTCAATCAGTTCAGCCCACACCAATGGTTACTTCCTAGACACGAGGTCAAAAAAAGTCTCTGAGAAGAGGATTTGCAATTCTCTTCACAACCCAGACACCCAATCCTCCTTCTAATGCAGATATCGGATGCAATTTCACGAGAAGTCGGGGATACTTACCTGGTTGGGGGGAAAAATAAGGGGAGAAAGATCTTGAGGCACAGGATTGTAGGCCAGGCAGAGCAAAACATATCAAGAGTTACTCTCTGGACTACAAGGGTGCTATTCATTACAGTAATCAGTTTGCTCTGTGGTACTTGCAGAGACATGCCAAGGCTGTTATGTGATTCTGCTCGACTGACTTAGCATTTGTGATTTGCCTAACCTTTGCTCTAAATAAATGGGAGCTGCGCAGAGGGAATTTTGATGCAACTCCCCTGCTTCTACAGCATCCTCCCTGGCTGCATCCTCCACGTGTCCCTGGGGTTTGTTTTAAGGAAGAGACAGACAGAAGGCAGGCAGGAGGAGAAAACAAAGAAATGAAATGCAAGCTGTCTGGCCCACAAAAAAAAAAAATTCATAATAGCCTGTCTTTGTTTTCTATCATGTTATTTATCTTACTTCAGAATTAAATCCAGATGACATAGATAAGACAGTGGTGACCCCTAGTGCCCTCTCCAGCTGCAGCTTCTACTGTTATTCCCTGTATTGATATTTGAGCATAAGCAGAGGGAAGCAGCAGCACCTTTCAGATTTGTTCTTCATTCACAAAGCCTCGCTTTCTCTTCCCTTTCAGAAACAGGATCTAATTTCCTCTCCCTACTCAAACTTTATTACTGCGAGGCGTTCGCTGCAGCATCCCTTTGTTGCTGTTGTCTGGGAACAAAATTAGACAAATTTACTTGTGTAAGAACTTACTATATTCCATTGACCCTTTATCATAGTACATTTATATTTATTATGCTTACAGGAAAGAAAGAAGAGCCTATTTTGCTCACTCCAAGCCTGTCA